TGTAATGCACTTTCAATATCTTTACTTGCTTTCCTAGGAGTAGTGTTAGTTTGTAAGGAGAATCCATTCATCAATATATCATACGACCCTTGATTTTCAAGGCGCCGGAGCACCATCCTTGTTGTTCGTTCACTCACCCCATATATCACACGACCGTCGCTCCCTGAGCAGCGCGCCGGAGCACCGCCCAAAACCCACCACCAACACCATCACTCGACGGCCTTGTAGTTCAGGCCGTGAACCTAACAGCCGAGACCAGTTCCTCTCTCGGCTACAATCGTTTGATTAGGAAGACGAGTTCAAACAGGCGCACCACTTATCCATCCAACACTCATCAACACATCGACGCACAACCGCACCGCACCCAAAAGCAAGAAACCGCGTGTTAACGCACATCCCCTCGGCCCGGAACTCCAGGCCGTGAGATTTGCGCGGCAGACAATTTCTTTGACCAATTGATTTCAGATCGGTTCCAAAACCTATGCACCATCATAATATGGTGGAAGGACTCACGTGGTAAGTTTTTATTGAAATCCAACCACTAAAACTATGCAATGTCCCAACCACAGTGCGAACTTCGCATCAGTTTCGTACAGACTCTAAGTGTCGAATTTCTTTGACCAATTGATTTCGGATTGGTTCCAAAACATACGCACCATCATAATATGGTGAGAGGACTCACGTGGTAAGTTTTTATTGAAAGCCAACCACTAAAACTATGTAATGTCCCAACCACAGTGCGAATTTCGCATCAGTTTCGTACAGACACTAAGTATCGAATTTCTTTGACCAATTGATTTCAGATCGGTTCCAAAACTTGCGCACTATCAAAATATGGTGGGAGGACTCACGTGGTACGTTTTTATTGAAATCCAACCACTAAAACTATGCAATGTCCCAACCACGGTGAGAACTTCGCATCAGCTTCGTACAAACTCTAAGTGTTGAATTTCTTTAATCAATTCATTTCGGATCGGTTCCAAAACTTACGCACCATCAAAATATGGTGGGAGGACTCCTTGACTTTTAGCTGTACGTCGGTCGAGAATCGCCTCGGTGGCTGTTGGAATGGTTTAAAACCCTCCTTAATTTTTAACTCATGCTCGACCAAACTCCTTGGCAATCCAGGCATCTCATGATAATCCCAAGCGTGTCTTTATATTCATGGAGCAGGCCAATAATCTCGGCCTTTAACTCCGAATTTAAAAGTTGGCTTATAAAAAGAGGTCGTGGTTCGGCCTCCGTTCCCACATTTATTTCCAATAAGGGGTCCTGAACCTCAGGGTTGCCATCCTCCATCTCAGCAGGTGCCGTTTCCAAGTCGTTGATGGTCAAAACGTCCACGTCATCCGATTCATGGAGGAACTCGATCAGGTTAATCGGTGAGTTTGGCCATGAAGATTCTTCCGCCCAGTGTTCCAGCAGCCTCTCTAACAAGTCGGTCATAGCTGCTGCTCCTTCTTCTTTGGTTGCTTTGTCCGGCATTTAATTAAGGCTGGTGAGGTCAATCAAAACTTCGCGTGCCGAATCCTGTCGGACATTTTCGGTGCCTAACTCCAAGACTTTCTGGGCCGTCGTCCTGGTTGGTCGGTCGCTTACATCGTCGCCGTAAATAAGCGCTTGTATGGCGTTGGCCTCGAACGGCCTTTCATCGGCCGGGTGTATGGACACTTTCTGGCCATCCCAAAAAGAACAACAATTGGAAAAGGGAGGACGGTATGCACCCGGACTGATGAATCCAGTCACGGCCAAGCAGTATATTGTAGTCTACACTGGACTCGACAACGTACAAGGCTGCGACTCTCGTTTGATCAGCCACGGTGATTTTCAACAGCAATACCCCAATGGTTTTAGATTTATCGCCGACGAAGCTGCTCATGTCTGCCGCGCAAATCTCACGACCTGGAGTTCCGGGCCGAGGGGATATGCGTTGACACGCGGTTTCCTGCTTTTGGGTGCGGTGCGGTTGTGCGCGGGCGTGCCAGCACGGTCTACCGTGCGTCGAGATGTTGATGAGGGTAGGATGGATCAGTGGTGCGCCTGTTTAAACTCATCTTCTAATCAAACGATTGTAGCCGAGAGAGGAACTAGTCTCGGCTGTTAGGTTCACGGCCTGAACTACAAGGCCGTTGAGTGATGGTGCTGGTTGTGGGTTTTGGGCAGTGCTCCGGCGCGTCGCTCAGGGAGCGACGGTCGTATGATATATGGGGTGAGGGAACGAACAACGAAGATGGTGCTCCGGCGCCTTGAAAATCAAGGGTCGTATGATATATTGATGAATGAATTTTCCTTACAGTCTAACACTACTCCTAGGAAAGCAAGTAAAGATATTGAAAGTGCATTACAGGAAAAAATAAGTTGCTCCGTGGGAGGCTTTGGTTTGGTGTTTGAACACGTCTAATGTAGGATGTGATTTTTCTGATGTGTGTTTGCTCTCGGCCAGGACCTGGCCGTCTCCTTGTAAACGCACCCCCTTTTCAACCCAAATGAATAAAATGAAGTATGATTTCCTTTAGTTTGTCTTCGTTATGTTGCATACTCCACTTTGGTACTTGCAAATCTCATAACCTTTCTGCGGCCGTCTCCCATAATGACGGGATATATCTCTTCAAATATTGGCCGTTGATCGGCAAGTTATGCCGTTCCCCATCTCTATCTTTTAACTGAAATGCACCTCGGCCAAGAATTTGTTCGATAATGAACGGTCCTTCCCAGTTGGGCGAAAATTTACCGAACCAAGGGTCCTTTGTCCCAATAGGAAGCACGGCTCGCCATACAAGGTCGCCCTCGGCGAAAGCTTTTTGCTTAACCCTTTCGTTGTAAGCCCTCGCCGCGATTTGCTTATGTGCCTGCATCAGGTTATAGGCATCAACTCTGGATTGCTCCAAATCTTCCAACTCCTGAGCCATGGCTTGTGCATAACCCCCCCCCCACGCTCAGGCTGCTCGGCCGCACGAAGAGACCAAACCTTTAACTCCATCGGGACGATGGCGTCGTGACCGTAGGTTAAGGCGTAAGGAGATGTGCCCGTGGCCGACCGCTTTGAGGTTCGGTAAGCCCAAAGAGCTTCGGGGAGCAAGTCATGCC